GACATCAAATTTTTGGCTTTCTTGTTCTTATTCTTAAGTGCAGTCTTCTTTTCTTTCCTCTGCTGTTCACGACTCTTCGCCTTTTCTCGTTCTTCTTGAGCCGTTAGGACCATTGAAGGTTTATCTCCCTTTGTCCGTTTGACCAATTCCGACCAACCATCAGTTGTTTTATCGTCCTGACCACGAACAAGCAAATTGGCTTGTTCTTTTTTTCGTTTGTTAGATGAAGGGCCTGCTGTATTATTAGAAGAAAATTTTAAAGATGCCTGAATCGTAGGCCGTGATGAGGCAGGTAGTGAAGATGACCGATCAGGGTTTTCGCGAACTGTATTTCAATGAGAAGAAGATGTAAGTTTATAATCTTCAAAGGCTGATGTGATTCCTAAGAAAAGGCGTACGTCGAATCTTTTCAGCCTGAACTTCTCCCTCAGTCAAATCTCTTCCTTCTTTGACTACCACCACCAATGGAGCTTCTTCATCTTCTTCAGCTTCTTCATCTGAAAGTCGACCTAGAGCAGTATGATCATCTACTTCAACAATTTGTGGACCATCTTCATCTTCATCGTCTGATGATCCTGGACGAATAGGGATTGCAGGTCGATTAGGATCTAAGATCTCTGTTCTTTCCCCATTTTCATCTGTTCTTCTTCGTTTGTTATCATTGTTATCTTCAGATGGTGATCCCCTTAGGGCAGAGTTTATGTTTGCTAGAAACTTTGGCTTATGATCTGTGAAGGTCAGATCTACTCCAGTAAAACAATCGTTGTATTATCAGTTAGTCTTTCGTATTTTAAATATAAATTCTTGGGGCCACCTACTTCTGAATTGATGGGGTTTAGTTTCGTTTGATCTTGGTGCCATAGCAATAAGTGATAGGAAGTAAGATGCTGGTTAGTTCTGCTGAGTTCTGAAGTGGTGAACTCGAAGATCCGATGAATTCAGTTGTGAGTCCGACCCGGTGGTCTGATTCCGATTTCCTTGGGACTGATCGGTAGGTAGTTGCTCGTTGATTATCATTTCATTCTTATCAATCCACTTCAATCCTCTTCGACGCAACAAACATGGTCATGTTACCAGCACCTACGAGTCTTACTTGCTCAGGAAACGATCATTATAAAGAATTATGGCGACATCTCAAAGCTCACTTTGATCGGATCACATCTGACACGAATGGCGATAACTTGCTCAATGTTCATCCAACTGACTTCGATCTTGATGTGGTATTGAAACTTTTGATCTCGATTAAAAACTCATTAGTTGGAAGTAGAACACGAAAATTTATCACCATGAATGATTCACAGATTATCTCTGTTATACCAGTGTAAGTTCTTACTAAATTTAATCTGATTCATAACAGGTTCAATTAACAGTCTAAAGATCATTGCCGTGCATATGATGTAGCTTAGCATGTATTCTAGAATTAACTGGCCAACAGATCACCATCATGAAGTTGAAGATAGAAGCTGCAGCTGTTGTAGGACTTTTGTGTTTGCGTATGTCACTCATCTTCCAATTCAATAGCCATCGCTTTAATTCATTAGCTCACTCATCCATCTATCTGGTCTGGCTATGATATCGTGAACGTGGTATACTGTGCTTCGTATTCAGCCGAGGATCAGACTGTCTTGGGTTTATTGCGAGCTCGGCTACCTGGTGCGATAATCCACGCCTTGACAAGTCTATTGAGCAAATCCTCAATCGAAACTATAATCTTTCATCCCACTCCGACTAATCAAACCGATCACCATTTTCTCAAGACACTTCTTCGCACACTATCTTCTCTCTATGGCGTCATTCAAGACGTTTCAAGCTCAAGGAAATGGGGTTATATGACCAAATCACCCGAGCGTGTACATCAATCAAAGCCTGGGCCGATCGTTCATCCCCTTTCGCAACCTGTCTCCTCATCATCTCCGCCTGGCGAGACAGATCGATTTGACCTGAAAGGGAAAGCTCGTGCTATCGAAGACGCTACCGATGAAATGTTTATAGATCCTTTGACATCTCAACATCTAGATGCAGGAGAGACGGATGAGTTGACTCGTCATTTTTGGCTTATATCCAAACGCAATGAGATCAAAGAAAGTTGTGAACATGCAAAAGTTCAATTATTGAAATTCTTGGCTCAAGATGACCTTCTCATATCTCTCATCTTGACCATCAGTCCACCCTCCAATCAATTCAATACCCCTGATCCTACTGCTCGAATTTCGTTGTGCGCCACTGCCGACCTCGTAGTTCCATGCCTTCAATTGATTTGGCTTCTTTGCAAAGACACAAGACGTCAAGTTTGGTTTGTCAGACAGTTGATGAAAGCACAAGATCCTATCAAGAATGAAGAGAGCCGATTGCAAGCTTTGGTCGGATGTTTGAAAGCTTGGCTGGCGTCTAATCATGATGGTGCTGTGGAGTCATCGATCAGAGTCATTGGGGCACTCCTTTCCATCAATGATCCTCCCCATTGGCCTGAAGATCATGATCTTTCTGAATATCTCGATTCAATGATTTGGGGCAAGTTCGACACCGATGAGGCTGACGACTCTAATTCGTGGGGCATTGGATGGGTCTTATTGACATGCCGGGCAAAAGATGGTAGTCCCGCTCTTCGAGCTGCATTAGCCACTAGGTACGTCAGCAAGGCTGATTTAGAAGTAGAAATCCAACGTTTGAGACTGAATCCATCGCCATCTGACCGGTCGTGTCTGCGAAATCTCCGCAAATAGCTCTGTTTGTCTGGTCAAGAATTTCCCGGACATTCGGCTTCGAATCCTAAAACTTCAAATACATAACGCGATTACTCTGATAGATAACCCTACACACTCTGTCACAGTCCGAGCTGAAGCAGCATATGCTCTTGGTCAGTATATCTTCTTTTGCGTCTAAAACAAATCCAAACCTGGTATTCTAACATTCTCCCGATTATGTAGCTCATGCTGTCACAGTATCAGAGGCACTTCAGATACAAGCTACAGAAGCGGGTGTAATACCAGTGTTGAAAAAGCTACTTGATAAAGCATCTGAACCACCAGTTCCGTATCCCACACCCGCAATTTCTGCCCAAAATGCCATGCTACGCGAGGTGTGTTGCACTTGCTCGCTTTCTCTACCTGATTCATCAATACTCTACCTCCTCGATGGCTAACTTATATCTCTCGGGGCGCGTGACAGAGTGCATATTTGGCTCTGGCCTCATTGATGTCCACACTGGACCAACCTCGACAAGAGGTCATTGACTTAAATTTATTGCCTTCGATTGTCAAGTCGCTTGGAGACGATTCCGTATTAGTGAGAGCTTCTGCTTGTCAATGTTGTCGAGCATTGTCACGAGCTATCAGTGTCTTGAGAACGAAACTTGCAGATGAAGGAGCTGGTCCTCGACTGTTTGACTTGGCTTTTGGAGCAGAAGGTAGTCATGAAATTGAGGAGTCTAGTGATGATGATGAAGATGAGGACGCAGTAGAGATCCAATTGAAGACAGTAGCTATGGGAGCATTATGTAACCTTGTGTTAGATTTCTCTCCTATGAAACAGGTAAAGTCTTTTTCAATTATGTTATCGATTCGATCTATGAGTTCATACTGACTCGTCTTCCCTTTCTTTCGTTGTAGGAGGTTTTAAATCGAAATGGGATTGAGAAATTTGTTAAATCGCTTAAGTCAACTAAACATCAGTCATTGAGGGTTTCAGCGTTATGGGGATTGAAGAACATGACCTTTTCGTCATCGACGGATTTAAAGCTGAAAGTGATTGGAAGTCTTGGTTGGGATGTCATTCATAAGTGAGTGGAGTCAAATTCCCCAACACATTTGCGCGTGCCGCTCTTTGTCGTTCTTACGGTTGCATTCTCACTAATTTCTCTTGAGTTAATAGGTTACTAGAAGACAAAAATCCATCCATACAAGAAAATATCATTTCACTCCTAAGAAACGTAGTTTGTGGTGATGTAGCCGATATTGATATCGTCTTTCGACAGTTGAATACACATGATCAATTGATGGCTTTGCTTGAGGATCGGCTGAGTACTTCTTCGATTAACCTAAATACAATCAGTAGTAGTAGTATGAGTGAAAGTATCATCTTACAAACGATTTATACTATCTCTAATATCGCCACTGGTACTGAAGCTCATAAGTTATTTATCCTTAGTCGGCATCGAACTATGAATAGTATTTATGAATTGATGGTAAGTGATTACGTTGCGATTCTTTATTACAGCCCGCTTCAATGATGATCATTTTGTTGATGTTTGCATTATAGTCACATAAGAATTCGGATATCAAGATTGGAGCGATTTGGTGTGTTAATAATTTATCACATTGGGATGAAGGTACAGATTCTGAAAGTAAGTCATTATATATCGTTCAAACTTGAATTGTGACGCTTGGGTGGAAATCTTATCATTTGGAACTTTTTTTCTTTCTCTTGGAAATCAGATGTAACAACAGTAATGATGAAATTCACTTCACTTGGAATCATCAATAAATTGAATGAATTAAGTAAAGAAGAGAAATTAGATGTTAGTGGTCAAGCTAAATGTGCATTAACTCAAATTCGGAAACGTCGTAAATCTTGATTAAATTGAGATTTTGATCACATTTCGTTTCACATGATGATTTCTCACTTCAAGAAAATCGATTTCAGTGCAATTAGTTTATGATTATTATTATCTATTCATCTTGAAAGTATATGTAGGATTTTTTTCATTAAATATCTTGAAGCTATATAACTTTAAATGAGTGGATTTGTTGTGAGATTATATTAGTAATCAAGATGTGATATAACTATCGTTTCTCTAGATATGTAATTCTCAATGATCTGCAAGATATGATTGTATAGATTTATCAACGCTGAGACAGTGAGAGACAAACACCATTATCAAACTAAACTCACGAAGACATAAGTCTTGCTCCATTGTTACAGTCTTTGGTGATGTTCTTCCTCTTTCTTTGCCCTGGATTCATTTTAAGTCTACCATCCCCTTTGCAGGGGTAAAAAGAGATCTCTCTGTCGGGGACTCGAACCCCGGTTGCCCGCGTGACAAGCGGGAGTACTGACCACTATACTAACAAAGATCTGAAGACTGTGGGATTCGAACCCACGCCCGAAGACCGCCGGATTACCCGAAGGATCCTTAAGACGGCGCCTTAGACCACTCGGCCAAATCTCCATGTCTGGCGACGCGCGATGAGGTTTTTCGGCCGTGCCATGGATTGCTTTGTGTTGCTCTGCATCAGAGCTTGAGAATTGTGATGGACAGAAAAAGTTCTGATCATAATACTGTAGCTTTTGGAAGGAAGGTATATCAGAAGACTTGACTGGAAGTGTACCTTCAATGCTTCACATCTGTGGCACAGCCAATCAAGATCAGGAATACAAAAATGTCACTATACAATTGAAGAGTTTGTTAAACGCTAGCTATACAAGAGAAAGTAAGGGTCTGGTCTGGAGATACTCATGGCACATTTGGATTTTTCTGTGGTAAAATTCAAAACACCTTCTTTAAATTCCTTTCGAACCAGCGCATAGGATAACAAATGCATCAAATCCAAAATAACTGAAGTTAAAAGAAAATTGAGAAGTGAAGTGTTTGGAAAAGAGAACAGGTAAAGCTTCAAGTTTAAAGCACTAAATTTGCGTCAAGTCACTGATGAAGAAAACAAAAACTGGTACCTGAGAACAAAAATGATAAAAAAAATCACATCCATAGATATAATCTGATGCACCTGGGAACAGCTGATGATAAGATGTGAGGAAGAGAAAAGAAGACAGAGCTAAGGGAGAGTTAAGAGCCAGACATGTCGTTGTTCCAAGTAAATCAGTTACAAAGGTGTGGATTTCTATTAATGAGAAGAATGAGGTCGTGGAGTATTTCCCATAAAAAACTGACGTGAAGTATTTCAGATCTTGACAAACCTCATTGCAGTCACATACTTTAGCCAAAGGATGGTTCACTGAGCTAAAACCATGTTGTTAGTCTTCATCAAGAGAACAACGTTGGCAGCGATGGTCGATTGGTGATTGTCAACTTGGGTTGACATGCTATTTGCTCGTTTCATCAAAGACGGAGTTTCTTTCTCGCTTGATCCTTCGTTACATTTGCGTTTGTGTGCTTTTCCGTGTCCTGTGGACCTGTTTACAAGCATTCCCTTAGCCTTCATTGCATCAAAGACTTGTTGAGCCATAGCCTTGAAATCGGAGTCGGTGAGAACTAAAAACCAGAAGGGACAAAAGTCAGATTAGATATCCTTATGAGTCCAGTTTGAATGATGAGCACTTACTGCCATTAGAAGGATTCGAAATGGTCTGTCCACCCGATGAAACTACTTGAAGCGCCAAGGGTGCCGGACTCGAAGCGGTCTTGAGCGCCAGACAGCCTCCAAAACGAAGTTTCCAACCTATCAACCCAGATACGATCAGCGAACAGTGAATTCGACAAATGTTCAGCTACCACATAATATGATCATCATCAAAGCGACTTACCGCATCTGATCCGGACAATGCACTTGTCTTCAAAAAGGCCTCCGTGGCAGCTAGTACCACTATAGAACGCAGGTCGGATTCAAACGATCAATACACAAATCTGACAAGAACATCAGAGTCAACCTCAAAAGTAGACTCACGGTGGGAGTTGGAAGACCGCAGTGTGATTAACACGATCTACTGGCCACATGCCTTCGATACCAGGTGGATTTTTGAGCGTATCACATTTCTTCCAGTTTGTGGCTTTGGCGTCCTGGAGATCAAAAAAATTCAGCACATAATTTTCAAAGTTAGCTGAAGGTGTACTTACTGTGTCATATTCACATGTGCAACGGCCACCACCATCACGGTTCACTTGAAAGATCTCCGTCTCGAATTTGCCATCCTCACCGATAGTTGCGACACCAGAGGCTTCGGCTATCAAAAAAATTGAGTTTCAAAATCTTGTCCAGACAGTCGATGAAGAGTAGTGGGTTTGATTACTCACACTGGGTTAGCCATGCTGGAACGTTCAGGGGACCCCATTGTTCATTTATACCACAAGGATATTGAGGATTTTCAACCCATTCGATCTTCTTAGAGAAAAAGGGAGCATCTGCTCCGGCCTATTGTTTATCACGCGAGCATCAGGAATCAGTGAGTCGATTAGCTACTAGAAAGAGCTCAGATCGTTCGATAACAATTGTCTTGTGCCTGAGGACTCACATCGAGACCTTGAGACTTAAACCAAGGGTATTCATTGTTCTTTGCCTAGATGAGGATAAGATGGGATCAGTCAAAGAATCCATGTAAGCTGTCACGAAGATACAATATCTAAAACGAAAGAAGGAAGACCTACTACTCCGAAACCCCAACTCTGTACTTGGTCAAAGACTCCATCGGGCGAAAGTTTTGCAGCGGTCCGAACAAGTTTACAGTGTCCAGCGACAGGTCGAATGACTACAAGAACCGAAGCCACAATACCAGCGGCGAGTACGAGTGAAGGCATGGTTGATGGAAAGATTTCGTTGAAGAGACGATAATTTTCAATGAAAGAGTGACAAAAGGCAGTTGTCTTCTGAGTAAAGTGAGTTTAAAAGAAGAATTAGGAAGAGTTAAGCTTCCTAGAGCAGTAGTTCAAATGTGAACTAGATGGATGAAAGAATGTGTAATGGGTGAGATGAGTTGGGTGAAAGGTTGCAAATTGGGATTGTGACGAGAAAAGTGAGGTAGATGCCGTATGAGCTCGCACGATTACAAAAGGTGTACGCAGCTTAAGCTCAACGCTACTTACAAGAAGAGGAGCAGACTGTATTGGAAATGAATTCTAGCCAAAGAGTTCTAATTTCGAGGATTAAACCGCTCACCTTGAGCGCAGCTGGATGTTTGTGGATGAATGTTGTAATTGATGATCAGCCACGGGCGCAGATGAAATCGATGAGATTTATGAACTCAAAGAGAAGCGGAGAAAAGGTGAACGGGAGTGAAATGACGGCGTGTTTGTGCTGTTTGTGCGTTGGAAGGCGAACCGGGGGGTGGTTTAGACCGTACAGGGAAGGATTTCCTTTGTACAGAACTGAGGCTACATATCACGCAGCGACTGGGAATTGCAACAAGCATTCTTCCGAACAAACCGAACGCAGACGTGGGTAAACTCAGGAGGCTGAGGTAATTCTGCTGCAGGTAATCACAGATATGCAAAAGCTCAGATGTATCAAGAGGGGGCAGGTCGTGAACCTTGCCCCAATAATCCGCCATTTCTGCTCAAGGGGTGAATCTTGCCGGCACCATTGGGCATGTTTGTTCGTACTGTTTTGAGGTCGATACCATAGCAAAGACTTTGACACGCTACAAATGGGCGCAATACACTGGCTCGCCTTATGGAATCGCCCTCAATCTTTTGAGTCCTGACACATCCCCAGCTACTGAAGACCGCCTGAATGCCGTTACGCTGCACTAAAATGACATCACATGATTGTATGCATATCAAAGTTCAGCGAATTGCTGAAGCTTGTCCGAGTGCCCAGAGAAGGAGAGCAAATCGACAGAGAAAGTACGACAAAATGACCACAGTTTAGAAGCCACATAAATGGGTGTTGCCATGAGCCATGCACAAACAATTGCAAGTCAAGTAAGACGTGGTGATAAGCTTTGAAGGCTCTGCTCTCGGTACATGAAGACGCTATAAACACGACAACGGGAAAAATCGAATCAACGTTCAATGTGGCTATATTTGTTTGTAAAGCAGGTTCAACAAATGCAAACATAGCTATCAGGTAGAATATAAAATAGAGCGAATTCGTAGGACTATTGTGAAAAATATGATTGGCCACAGACCACCATGATAGGAAAATGGAAGTAAGAGGTGAATTGGAACGATATGTGAGGACAAGAGGACACATTGCGAAGGAAGAACATGATAGGAAAAACATAAAAACAAGAGAGGACTGGTTTATGATGTGTTTCTATCATCGGCTGAATGTGAATTCAGAGTAGAACCAGCCGATTCAAAGAAAACTCTATTGATGATGAGCACGCTTGTTGTGCTTGGTGGCGACTAGGTGGTTCTTCTTGGCAAGCTTGACAGAAACCGAGATCAAGGAATCCATTTGCTGAGACGTCAAAGCTAGTACGATTTGTATGGATTGACATCAGTCTCTTTTCAATGACAGATATTTATGATCAACTTACAGTATCCAGATGAGTCTGAACCGCTGGAGCTCCCGCTGGAGCCCTTCCTGACCACTTTGCCCTGTAGTTTTGCAATGAAACAACCTCCGCAAATTTTTTGTGCAGCTATGGTTGAAGATAAACGATCAACGTTGACTCGTGAAGCTGTGAAAACGAAGACAAAAACACAAACTATCGGAGGTTTGACCAGCCCTGCATCGGATGAGGCATAAGTTTCTCTCCGAGCCGCCTGTACAGTGTGAGCCCCTGGTTGGGCAAATCCCACAAAGTCAGCATTCGTGGGTGATAAGTAGTAAAGCTGGACGAGCATGTCAACTGACTCCTTAAAAGTGGCAACCACCCTCCAGGTTTTGCGGTCTGCAGGGAAAGCGCCAAAGTTTCCAGGTAAATTGAGAGTGACATCCATAGGTTCGAATGAATTGCCGGTGCCATCCTAAAGCGTGTAGGGTTAAGCAATTAGTTAGTGATTTTAGGACTAGATTGCGACGACGTTTAACTTACAGGACTGTACTCGCAAGAGAGTGGACCACCCCCGTTACGGTCAACCTGGAAAACGTCCAGGGGAAGCGAGCCATTTGCATGCACGGTTGGAACACCAGCAGTGATGGCTGATCAGTAAAGTGAATCGTTAGCATCTTCGTATGTAAGAGGAGTGAGCACCAGCAATTGGAGGATGCCGCACATTTTGCAGTCTGGTCAGCAATGTTCACAGCGCCATGGAGCTTGGCCACTGATCCGCAAACGGGATTAGGATTGTCGCTGGGATTGAAAGCGGTGGCATCTGCACCGGCCTGTGAGTAAAACATGTCAGGGATGCAGAAAACACAAAAGGAAGAATGCATGTTGGCCTCACGTCTCCTCCAGTGCCACTTCGTGGGATAGCACCAGAAGTATCCTGCGTTGGTTCAATTGTCAATGTCAGTGTCGAGTTGATTGTATCGAATGTAGAAGACAGTCCAAGCATACAATTCCAAAACCGTGTCCAGTGACGCCATTTCCTCCATTGACATTGAGGAT